GAAGGTTTATAACATTGACTGCGCAGCACAAAGGCCAAGGACCAGAGAGAAGTGGTCTTCCAGCATGGCTGAGAAGGGACTGTCCTGCTGAAGAACTGTCTCCTGAGTATTACTGATCAAGACTTGTAATCTATTAACTTCCCTAATCACCCCCATAATGGTGATATTTTCTGAGTCCCTTGTAGCCACTTCCAGGGGACCCAGTAGAGATGTAGAGAGTGTGCCTTGAGAGGGACACTTGACATCACACGTGGTGAAGAAGATGGTCGGGGGGAAAGCATGTCTGACCTCTATTTGATTGGAATCAGCCTTGGACTGATAGTTCGATTCTCCTTGCCCCTGGTGAAGTCAGAGGAGGTCAGAAGCTGCTGACACGCCATTTTTATAGCACCCCATGCTTCCTTACACCCTGTCACTTACGCTGCATCTCAGCCAAAACACGGAGCCTGGATCATGAAGTGCGTGCTGTAGGGCATCATCTCTAAGGCTTCCGGTTTACTTAATAAGTACCTGAAAGGACATGATTTTTTTTTTAACTAAAATATAGTCTGTAAAAGAAATTTCACTTTGGCAGAAGGGGACTCAGGCCAGATGTTTGTGGTCCTTTACTTTTAGACGTGCTTTGCAGAGAAGTCTTAAGAAACATTTTTTTTGACCATTTTCATAGTGAAAAATTAGGCAGTAACTTGTCAAGATTTTAGGCAAAAGTAACATTCTGTGCAGGTCCCCTAAGTAGTTTCGCCAAAGAACTGTATGGAAGCCAAATGGCACATTTTCCTCCCACAGAATGGCTACTGGGTTTGAACCACTAACCTCTTTGTTAGTAGCCTATCGCTTACCCATTGCACCACTGGGGTTTTTAGCCTAGAAACTTCAAGCCTTGAAATAAGAATTATTTCTCATTTGAGGGGAAAAAATACTTTTTTTCCTTGAGAGCTTATTTTACTTTTTAAAATATTAAAATAAAAATTGTAAATGATTGTAATTTTTGGAAGGTTTTTCTCTGAGTTTGTTTAAAAACAAAAGATACCAAGGCTTAGGGCAACAAAACTCTGTATGACACTGTAACACTGGGCAGATGACATTAAGCATTTGTGTAACACTGTACAACACAAACAGGCCACCCTGATGTAAACTATGTATGAATATATTATAATAATATATCAGCACTGGGTTACCCATTGTAAGAAATGTACTATAGGCTATGAGTTAATCGTGGGAAAGAGATGGGGGGAGTGTGGGGGGGGGAGCATATGGCTATTCAGTACTTTCTATCCTCTGTACTCTCTATACAATTATTCCAGAACCCTAAGGCTTTCCTAAAACATAGTCTATTTGAAAGCTGGTGAGTTTGACAAAGATCTAAGAAGAAAGATTGCCTAGAAACGAAGCCATTTAGAGCAGAATGAAAATAAGGTTAGCCGATACACTTGATCACTGTAAACTTATGCTGTCTAGTTGAGTCGGACTCCCAGCAACCCTGGGGGGCCCTGCAGGACAGAGGGAGAGGGGGGCAGAGCAGTTCCAAAGCTATCATCGTCACAGAGCAGACTGCCAGATCTTTCTCCCAGAGAGAGGGAGGCTGTTGGGTTCAAACCTCTGACCTTGGGATTCACAGGGGAGTGCTTAACCATTGTGCCACCCGGGCCTGTTTGATCATGCTGTATCTAAATAAATAAATCTATTCCCAAACACAAGGCAAGATTTAGTCTACAGTTCACTGTTTACCTGGTAACTTACCTTCTGCACAAAACATTTGGATGAGTCACTTAGCCTTGTCTGTTTCATAAGGTGATTAAACTGCGGCCCAAAGCACAGCTAGGAGAGCAAATATGTCATATTCCTTTTTTTATTCCTCAGATTTTTATTTATGACCATGTCGAAGTAACCATACTTGTGGTGTCACATGAGAGACAGAGAAAAAACCTTACACAGAAAAATTGGTATTTGAACATTTTTTGAGCATTCTTTTTATTTTGCTGAAAGTACAATTCACACAGGCAAAACAAACAAACTGAAAATCCATGCAAAGTACACCATCCTAATAATACACTATATCCCATTTTCTGAAATCGTTTTAGAAAAGAAAAGAAATCCCAAGACCTGGGTTGAAAAGTTAACATTATAAAAGCTAGAATCCTAACACAAACCCTGCAGACCCAAATCACACTCCATTGCAAAACGTTAATGTTTATCAATGTTAAATAAAAGTCAATAACAAGGAAACAAGAATTGTAGATCTGAAGCTTCTCCCCACCATGAACTATCAAAGTGCTCGGTATTGTAGGACATTGATGGTGTTACCTAGAAATAGATACAACCATCATCCCAACACTTCATCCCAAGACTTACCACAAGTAGAGTACCACACCCCAAACTATATCACCTTTGCTTGCTATCTTTAAAATGTTTTTTTGTTTTGTTAAATAAAAGAGTTCCCCCAGAATCTACACTATCTGAGATGTAAAAAAAGTGATTTAAATGACTGTGGTGAAGTTCTCCTTTGAGAGGGTTCACGTGTGTGTGTGTTTGTGTGTGTGTGTAAACTTTTAAACAGATTTTGGGAACTTATCGCTACAGATTTTTTTTTCTTTCCTTGAGACTAGTTCTTGATAATTTGGGGGTTTTTTTGTTTTTTTTTTAAACCTGTTTAGACCCTTTCTGTACAGTCAGCCACCTCCTTGTACCTCTATATTCAAACTTTCCAAAAGTAACAGAATGCTTCAAGGGACTTGTTTGCAACTCCTGAAAAATCTCCAAGCACCCGCAGCAAGTGCTCTCCACCTGGTCCTTTGTACTCACTTCCTCACTGAACCAAACGTAGAAAAGGGCCTCTCAGAAGAACAGGTTGGGTCTCTCTGAGCTCCCAGAGGATGGTGATTTCACCCTCGAAGAAAACAAACCAGGGCTTTCTGCTAGCAATCAGAAGCCTCCTGGAAGCCTGGGTCCTCAGAAGAAAAAGATGTTAACGCATTCCTAAACAACACTTCACCTGTGTAAAGAGAAAGTCCCCCCCAGGAGTGAGGAGAGAGTTGCCGTGCGATGGACCATTGTCGAAGTACTGTGTTTGAGTGATGAACATCCACTCACACTGTCTGCTTCACTGCCATTTCCAGTGAGCTTCATGGGGCCTCCTAAGAAGGGACGATGCCATTCCCAATCTCAGAAATCAAGCTTCTCTCTTTATCACCCAACAGCTATAAAATGCTTACCTAACTCAGAAATGATCACTAGTATTGAAAGAAGTTTGAGAGCCAAATCTACTTCAATAACACGTAAACATTTGGCTTGTTAAAGCACGTCCTACTGCTACAACAGGCTAAATCAACACAGCTCATCCCTTTCCAAAATACTGGCCCAAATGCCGAATGAGCATGTAGTGCTTCATCTCGTCTTCTCTATAGTCAATCAATGGCACATAGTAGGCCTGCTGCATTTAAAGGAACCCATGAGAGAAGGATGCAAAGGTGGGAGGCTTCCTACCAGTTCGCCCATCCTCACCAAGGCTAGTGGGCCCCTCTGCCTCATCCAGAGCTTGAGCCTGTTCTCATTCACTCTGCCCTTCTGTTTCACACTGTTTCTCCTTTGCCACTGGCCACCAAGTCTATTGGGGAGATGGGGGTGTGGGCGGGGAGGTGCTGAGGAAGCCTTCCTAAGTGAGCAGTCTCAAGGCAGGGGTGAAATCCATGCACAGAACTGGACACTCATGCTAAGGAACCTCTTGAGCAAAAACAAAGCCCAAGCACAACCCAGTCTTTTAAAAGCCTCCTTTTCTTCAACAGTGCCAAGTCAAACAGGGAAAACCCAATTTATAGAGAAGCCAAGCCTAACATTACTGAACATTTTGATGCAAAATTCTAGCAAAGAAAAAAAAAATTCTATCAGAGTCCTGACCAAAAGGGGGGAAATGCAGAACAGAACTCCAACTTCTCATGGAACCCAGACTTTGTAGAGCCATGGAGGCTGGATGGACTCCTGAAATTATTGCCCCGCCTCCCGTAAAAAAAGAAAAATATCCCTCAGCCTTCTTCCAGCCAAACAGTAGTTTGGTTAAACTCGTCAAGGACGTCCACCTTGAGCAATATGCTCTTTGATTCTTCATCTGTATGGGGATCGGACTGGTAGCAGCAACCTGAAAGGCTGGACAGGAACCTGAAGGGGACAGTGAGTTGATGTTCACGGAGGAGGGACAACTCCACTCAGGAGGGTGTGATTGGCTGCATAACTTCAAGGATGTTATCGATGAAGAATGTAATCAATGTCACTGAATGCTTTAAAAAAAAAAAGGAGCTAAGCCTTGAGACATTGGATAGGTCAAACTGTCAGGGGCCAACTGTAGGGCTGGTCCTTTCTCTGCTGTCTGCAGTGGACACCAGAGCCCTTCTGTGGCCCTTCAGGTCGCCTGTGTCTCCCAGAAGACAGCAGTGTGCGATCCTCAGTCCTACATTCTCTTCAGCTGCCCAGGCTTCCCTGGAAGGCCACTGGGCAGAGGTAAGCTCCATCCATGACGCGAGTAAGGGAATAACACTTCCTTTTTTGGTGAGGAAAGCCCAATCAGTCCTCGCCAACAAGCTCCCTGCTCGGGCTCTAAAAATACCCTGCCTGCTGCGAGTCTGGTTTGGCGCTTCTCTGCTTTGCCAGAGGGGTTTTAAAGGACTCCCAGAGGCCTTTGCGTTCTCTGTCCCTGCCTCTGGTTCTCCCTGAGTCTGAGCTCTGTCGCCACTCCGGTGAGCTGGGGGAAGTGTCTTGCTTTGGGAAAGTTTCAGGGGTTTTTGTTGTTGTTGTTTTTTTTCACTTTTGAGTTCTTAGAATTCTGTCCTAAGCGTTTAAAGTACAATTCCAGCCTTGGATTAATTACTAGCTTGGTTTAGAATCTTCATTTGGCTTCTAGTCTGAACTATGTAAATACACGATCTGTGTACAGAAGAAAGGACTAAAATTATACTTCAAAAGAGCTCAATCGCTTCCTGCCTCCTCCAGTCCCCACCCCCCACCCCCACCCCAAAAGAAACACCAGCCTCCAAGAATCCTCTCTTGCTCGCAGCGGCAGCAGCTCCCAGGCCCGGTGGGCCCCAGATGCCCGGGCCTACACGTTGATTGCATGTGCGTGCTTCTTACACAGGGGCTTGTCCTTCTTGGAGTAGAAGGGCTGACCCTCCAGGTTCACATGGCAGACCTGGGCGAGAACAGATGGAAGTGAGACAGGGTCATGTCACCCTTGGCTGGCTGCACACAAGGGTCAAGTTGGGGGAAGCTGATGCCTGGCTCTGGTACTTGAATTCAGTGGGGGAAAGGTGGATTTGGGCCCTCTCTTCTCTAAGTAAAACTGGTTTCGTGTCCTTCCTCAGTGGTGTGTGGGTCTAGGAAGGCTGAGCAGTGGTGTATATTTTCAACAACCTTACGAGCCTATTTAATTACCTTAAGATTAGGGTAATCTTGAGATTGTGGGAAGGCACCGTTTGTGTCCTCTGCTTCTCCACAGGCAGGTCCTGGGCTACCTGGCCACCGCCCCTTGGGGTTGAGCCACCCTCTACTTTGTCACTGCTGAGTGGACGGAGACCTCCTCTACCATGAAATCATCTGGCCTCCCCTCTGCAGTTTCCTGGCCAAGGCCTGATTCAGGGTCCTGCCTTAGTCTCATCTTACCAGTGAGCCACCTCAGAGGTTCTGGCCCATCCTCACCACTCAACACCCCCCCCCCCCACCCCGTACCCTCCCCAGTTGACCTTATCCTGAAGTTCTCAAAGGGCGTGGGGGCTTTTTTCTGCCAAGGGTCATTTGGATATTTATTTATTTTTATGAAATACTTTTATTGGGGGTTTTTACAGCTCTTAGCACAATCCATGCATTCATCCATTGTGTCAAGCACATTGGTACATATGTTGCCATCATCATTTTCGAAGCATTCTCTTTCTACTTGAGCTCTTGATATCAGCTCCTCGTTGTTCCCCTCCCTCCACCTCCCTTCCTCATGAACCCCCGATAAATTATAATTTATTTTCGTATCTTATATCATCTGCTGTCCCCCACCCACCCACTTTTCTGTTGTTCATCCCCCTGGGAGGGGCATTTGGATATTTATAACATCATTCACAGGGCATGCAAAACTATCAACTTACAAATTAGCCTGCTATATTTGATCAAACATTTAATTAACTCACCCCTAATGTGATGGCTGGAACTGCTTTTCTTTGGTGAAGCAAGTGATGTTAGTTGGTATTGATGATTTTGAGGGCCCTATATGGCCTGTGGGACAGATGTTCTCAGGGACTGATACTGTTTGCAACAATGGCCTCGCCTCTACCTGCTACTGTGAGGATGGTGCAGGACCAGGCAATGGTCCCTTCTGCTACACCCAGACACACACTGAGTCAGGGCTGACTTGTTGGCACCTAACAACAACCATCTATGATGGCAACAGAGGAGGTTCTGAGTCTCTTCAACGATGGGGAGAGAGAACAGAAAGAAGGGAAGTCAAAAAAGCATTGCTAGGAGGTTTCCAGTTCCTACGTGCACGGGTTTATTCCACCCAAGCATGTTTCTGTCATCCGTGGAGGACAAGTGCTCTCAGTAATATACTGATCAAAGCCTCATTACGGTCCAATGAAAACAGGAGCCTGATGAGGGGATCTGCTGGTCCAGGCAGAGAGGTCAGCTCAGGGTATGGGGACTCTTTGGGATGCTAAAGGGTGAATCTCCAGAGATCTTCTCAAAGAACATTGGAGGCTTCTTAAGAAGACGTTTTTAAGAAAAGGGAAAACATCATTCGTGAGAAAGATGAGGAAAGTGGCCCCGAGGACTCTTCCATCTTGACAATGAACCATTGTGGAAGCACAGGCTATCGTGTGAGAATTTCCTTGGGAAAGCGTCCCCATTCATCCGACAGCCCTTATCTTGCCCCTGCAGACTCCGCTGCATCCCTCAAAGTCAAGGAGCATTGGGAAAGAGCGAGATTGGAACACCTTCAGAGGGCCCAAGGGGCCGTGTGGCTGTGGCAGGAACATGGAGGAACGCAGACTGCTTTGGGAGATAGGGTTCGAGAGATGCAAACACCGCCGCCGAAGAGTGTAGACCTAGGGGAGGATGTGCTGAGAGGCAGCAGCATCGCATTCGGATGTTTTTGTTTAATGAACATTTCTTCGATTTTCTAGCACTACTTTTTGACTTACCCTTGAATTGCCTGAGGCCGCCATGGCTCGGGTGGTGCACTGGACACTCTCGACACATGATCTCCTATCACTCTCATAAGAATCTTATGGGATAAGTATGACTTTCCCCCCACTCTACAACGGAAGGTCTGAGGTGCAGAGAGCATGGGTCTTGCCGGAGTTACAGACTGAGTGAGTTATCTTCATGGGAAGTCATGCCTAATTCCATGCTAATGTGACTTAATTATTTGATTTCATATATAATGATTTAACTGAAAGGATTGTGGGCTCGGGGATTTGTGAAAGCCTTGGGTGCCACTGGAAGATCCCTGGTGGCTCAGTTGTGAAATGCTCAGCTGCTAACTGATAGGTCGGTGGCTCGAACCATTAGTCGCTTCTTGGGAGAAAGATCTGGCAGTCTCTTTCTTTTAAGATTTATAGTCTTACACCCCCTGACTGAAGGGTCGTGGGGATAAGACATGCCAGTCAGGTTGCAGGGTAGTAATGATGAAACATACAACTTTCCTCTACTTCTTAAATACTTCCTCCCCCCCACTATCATGATCCCAGTTCTACCTTACAAATCTGGCTAGACCAGAGGATGTGCACTGGTACAGATAGGAACTGGAAACCCAGGGAATCCAGGACAGATGATCCCTTCAGGACCAGTGGTGTGAGTGGCGATGCCAGGAGGGTGGGATGGAAAGGGAGAGCCAATGACAAAGATCCACATGTGACCTCCTCCCTGGGGGATGGACAACAGAAAAGTGGGTGAAGGAAGACATCAGACAGTGTAAGATATGACAAAATAATAATAATTTATAAATGATCAAGGGTTCGTGAGGTAGGGGGAGGGGAGAGGGAGAAGGAAAATGAGCTGATAAGGGCTCAAGTAGAAAGCAAATGTTTTGAGAATGATGATGACAGCAAATGTACAAACATGCTTGACACAATGGGTGTATGTATGGATTGTGATAGGAATTGTACGAGCCCCCAGTAAAATGTTTTAAAAAAGAAAAAGATTTATAGTCTTAGAAGTCATATGGGGCAGCTCTCTGTCCTTTAGGCTCACTGTGTACCAGAGTCAACTTGATGGAAATGGGTTTTATGTAGCACTAAGTTAATGCACTAGCTGCCGTCTGAAAAGTTGGAGGCTTGAATCCACCCAAAGGTGCCTTGGAAAAGGGGTTTGGCAATACTTCCACACTACCATCCACCTGAGACCCTCCAACCCCCATGCGACCTCCAAGAGTCAGCATTAACTCCATGGCAACTGAGAGGACTTGCATGCGGCTAAGCCTCTTAGTCCTCTGGGCTCCTCCCTGTGGAGGGTAATATGCTAATCTGTCAGAGTCTGCTGGGAAGTCATATTGGTTGGGATGGCCTCATCCTTAGAGAAGGCACTGAGAAGCCCTAATGGAGCGACAGAATTAAAGGCTGTATTTAGGATACTGGCATCAGAAGTTCAAGGGGCGTGCCCACGTTCAGGTAGGTAGAGGGACAGAGAAATCATCCATTAGAGCTGGGTTTGGTCAGTGAACACGTGTCCATTTCAGGAGCACTGCGAAGAAAAGTGGCATCATGTTGGCTCCATGTTCAAGTCCCTGATGGTCTCAGTGGGAGGTTATATGCATGGGGTTACTCAAGGCTGCTATAGGCTTCCAGCCAACGACCAGAAAAAGTCCCTGAAAACTTCCCAGCTGATGCAGTGACGTTGAGTGTAACCCAAATTGGGAGTGGCCCCAAGTTGCTGGGGTTGGCATCAAATTCTAGAACAAGTTCAGGTTAGCTCTACCCCAAAACAAACTAATGACAGAGGGTTTTGAGGGAGATAGAAAGCAAGCTTTGAAGGGAGCTAGCAAGGAGCTGCCAGTTTACAGCCAAGAGCCTTGTAGGGAGACACTGTCTGGTCTTGAGGCAGTGCTGGTTGCCTATGAGAACTTTAGGATGAGGTTGACCAGGGAAGGTACTGGGGACAGAGGGGTGATGAGGAAGGTGCCAAGCCTCTGAGGTGACCCATTGGTAAAATGGAGTAAGGGCAGGACGCTGAATCAAGAGGTCTTGGCCAGGAAACTATAGATGAGGTGCAAGATGATTTCATGGTAAAGGAAGCTGATCATTCAGCAGAGGCGAAATAGCGATTGACTCAGTCCCTAGGCTCAGGGGCCAGTGGGCCTCAGGACCTGCCTGTGGAGGAGCAGAGGCCACAGACAGTGCCTTACCACAATCTCAGCAGAGTGAAAGGTAATCAAATAGGCTCTTAATAGCCTAAAATGTACACCTTCCTGATGCTAACACCAATGAGGGGAGGACTAGAAATCAGTTAAACTTAGAGAAGACCCTAAAACTGCCCCCGTCACGTTCCAAGGCTGTAACTTTCTACAGAAGTAGAAAGCCTCATCTTTCTCCCAAGGAGTGGCTGGTGCTCTCAAACGGCTGACCTTGGGGTTAACAGCCCAACGCATTACCCACTACACCACCAGGGCTGTTAGAGGAGAAGAGGGACCCAGAAAACATCATCTCCCCATTGAACTCAAGTACCAAAGCTACACAGGCGCTTAAACCCTAGCCTGACCCTCAGATCATTATTCGCCTCCCACTCTTGGTTTTATAAGCTTTGGCCTGTAATAATGTCTTGTTCTTTTAATTGTTTGTGTATGTTAGCTTTGCTTTCCTATTACACCTATAGATTCCTCAAATGTGGATACGTGTTCTTGGATATTCTTGTACTCCCCAAACTCAAGGAACAATTGGTTACCTGAATTAGTCTAAAGCAGTGTTTCCCACTCTGGGGTGCTGGAATGACCCAGGGGAGCTGCTAAAGCAGATACTTACACTTTAGTATGGACAATGGGTTATAGCACAAAAGTGTTTAAATGCCACAGGGGTGCTAGGTAATTTTTCTAGGGGGTTGGTAGGCCAAATAAGGTTGGTAGGCCAAATAAGTTTAGAACCTGTGGTCTAAAATATTTGCTATCCAGAGAACCGATACATATGTAGTAAGTACATAGGTTGGGAGAGAGAGTCC